TTTCAGTAGGTACTTGCAGCAGAAAGAGTTGAAAAGCCTAAAAGGGTGTTTCTCCAGAGCAGGAGAGTTTTCAGATTAAGCTCACCTAAGGGAAGTGCTGGGATATACTCCTCTTTGTGCATAAAGAAGCACAGAAGACTGGGAAACAGTACATGAAGGAGAGCTTAGTCCTATGTGGAGATCTTCCCAGGCCCTATGCCTTTCCTCAGAGCAAGACCTGCTAGAATGCACACCTTGGTGAGTCCTGTGAAAGTTTTCTCTTTCTTCCAATTGGGGGCAGACTGCAGCACATAGAAAGAATTAGGAAACAAGTGTCAAAGGAAAGATCCCATTTTATCTGTTTTTTGGTTGTCAGTTCTTCTGTGGGAGCTGTAGTTGAGGTGGGATGTGAGTATTTCCCTGCCTCTTCTCCCACTAATTATATTCTGTGTTCTGTGACTTTGTGTCTCAGAGCCATGCAGCAACTGTTCGTACCACAGCCAAGCAATATGGATTGCAGACACAAACCTGCCAGATTTCACAAAGCCTTGATGCTGTGTTTGGACTCCTGAAGAAATGGAGAAGGACTGTACATTGGAGGAAACCAAAATCCCCAAAGTCTTCCTGAGCTTTGATAATGAGGTAAAAGGATCTGAATCTGGACTTACCCTGCTAGATCAGTATAAACCTACAAGGTTCTAGGAGGAAGAGCAACAGGGCTGTTAATGTATATAAGCAGAGTACTGTGGCCCAAGTGATTAACACACGTTATAATGCCTCCAGGTCTAGGTAGCCTGATGAGTACCCATTACATTATGTGAATAGACTCACTCTGGAGACTTACTGGTCTCTTTCTTCCAAGATAACAGCTCTGTCCATGCTAACAGGGAAAGCACATTGCAGGATGACAGCTTAATTTTGCCATCTGCCATTACCAATAGCTGTATGTCCCCATCCAGAGCTGGGGCTCTGATGGACATTCCTTGAAGCTGAGCATGGGAAGATCAGCCATCAACAGCTGGGCCATGTAGTGGCTCCTGACCAGAGCTAGGTTTTCCAGTCACTGCTGGGATCCTGCGGTGGACTTCTTGCATCACCTGTGTTTGGGGCAGGCTAGGCAGGTAACTTGCAGTGAATGGTCTGCTCTCCATTTTCTTTCCCAGGCATTGTAGGATGGCACCTCCTGTGTGTTGAGGAAAAGCTGCTTAGTCGACTGACTTTTCAAGCCTTGAAGCAGTCTGAAGAGACATACCCTAAAGGAGGGAGCTGCCTGTAACTTACAGCCTTAGTGTTCAGCCTTATGTGTTAGGTATGTACAGAGGTGTGGCCGCTCCCTGCCTTCTCAAGCCTAGTCTTCCAGCCTGGCTGGTTGGCTGGTGACATCCACGACCAGGCGTTGAGTTCAGTCTCACCGTGTGGTGCCATCTGCTGCCGAATTCCTTTGTTGCGGCCTTTCCCGCGATCCCTGGGCTCAGCCATCGTCTCCAGGGACCCACCATCTCCAGGGACTGGCTGGGTGCCTAGCAGCCGAGGGGGTGGTGGGTGGGATGCAAGCAGACATCACCTGAGACCTGGCTAGTACTGGTGGGGTGCTCTCTGAAAGGAAATCATAGCTGGTGATTTGTAGTTTAGCAATGGTGGAACTAAAGCTTCCAAATGTAGCCATGTCCTGCTGTTCTGTCCTCTGTGCTTCAGTGTCCTCATGCACAAACACGGTATAGTAGGGCTTGGAACTGAGCTGTCTCAGGGCAGGCACAAATCCCCTGTTGTGGTCGGTGTGCATACAGGTATGGATGTCTGTTGTCTTTAAAGTTTGGCCCAGAGGAATGGAACTCCTCCTAGTCTTTTTTAAAGTGGTGGCTAAGCACATGAGTGCATGTTTATGGTGTTAAGCAAACTGTTCAAAGATGTGTGAGATGCTGTTGGTAGTGCTACACAAACCATCCTTTTGGTTAACTGGCAGGAACAAGGAGCTGGATTCCAGTGAGAGGTAAGGGGTAGGACAGCATTTTCCTTTGCAAATATATGCTAAGTGGCTATAGATACAGGTGTATGTCTGGCCCAGAGTTAGCGGCTGCTGTCACCAGTACCTAAAGCTGAAGTCAATACCATGGGTACATGTATAAAGTATGTTTGGAAATCACTCTTTATTGGGTAGAAAAGCCCATCAGCGATACATCCCATACAGAAACAGGGTTACTGTAAGCAGATAGCCTGCCCTGGGTAGCCTGGTCTAGTTCCAAAAGTAGTTCTGATTTGAGCAAGGTTTGAACAAGATACCTCCAGTCTGAAGTATTTCCTAGCACAACTTTAGTGCTCAGCTGTGCTGAGGTGGGTCCCAGACTGGGGCAGCAATGTGGTGAGATGTCTGATGGGGGGTTGGTCAGTGGAGAGGAGTGCTGAGATCTGACAGTCATCCTTCACCTCAGAAAGGCCAGAGGCTCTGTCCTCTGACCAGGATGGTGTGCTGAGCCTGTCCTGTCCAGTTTTAAAATGCTAAATATGCAAATAACTGTGATCTGGAGGCAGAGTCTAAGACGTGGGCCGTGGTGCTGCAAGCCAGCGTGAGTCACCAAGGAGCACTTTGACCTCTTAGTCAGTCCCAGCCAGCAGGGAGAGAGCAGCAGGGGCCCTTTGCCCTCTGGATCAGTGCCAGCTCTGTGCTGGAGGCTGGCACCCTGGAGTGCCATTTGCCCACCCTTCGCTTCCCTGTGCTGACTTCAGTGTCCTGGCACGGTAAAAGTGGGTGACACAGGTACCTGGAGGATGTGCTCTTAAAAAAACCCCTACCTTTCCCCATCTGACAGTGTTGACATCTGTGTCATGAGGAGGTTCCTGCTTAAGGTTGAACCCCGAGGCTTGGGGCCTCCCTGCCTGGCACTAAAACTTTCACATCATGTTCCATTGATGATGTGCCAAGAAGTGTTTGGTTGAGCTGACTGTACTCCCTGGATTTAGTTCAGATTTCTATGGCTGTTTCCAGATGGCTTTTGCTTTGTCCCATCCTGACTGGACACGTGGCATGGCTGCTCTGGAGGCAAGTGGTGTCCCCTCACCTCACTGCTGGCCATCACAAGTTGGGCTGGGAGGCTGCAAACGGCCTGCAGGGCTACCTTGGCCACAGGGTAAGGGGAGGACAGGCCACTTGCAGTCTTCCTGATAAATCCACCCTTGAGGATAGGAGGGGGTGAGAGAGCTCTGCAGGGCTGGGCCAGTTTGTGCTGCTATTCCAGTGCCACCTGCTACAACAGCCGAATCAGTACAGCTCTCCCCAGAACCTCCCAATGAGAATGTTTTTTACTGCATTCCACTTACATGCATGAGAGGATGTGGAGGGAAACAGTTTAGGTTCCAATAAGAGTGACCCTAAGGTTACAGCAGGAGTCTGAGTGACCTTATGTGACAGTTCCATACTTGCTTGGTGTCTGTGTTTTCCATTTTATTGCCTTTCTTTCCAGTCCCCCCATTCCTCCTTCAAGAGAGGGAAATCAAGTGCATTCACCTTACTGGGCAGAGAGTAGCCAAACTGAATTCAAGGCTGTGGAGATCTGTGTGGTCTTTAGAACTGGAAATGAAGCATGAAGAATTCTTTCTGTGGAGGGGTATTACATGGCCACAGCTTGTGCATGCGAATTCCTTATGCTCACTCCAAGATAAACTCCACAACCCCACCTCTGAAAACAGGCCACTGGGTCTGACTAGGACTTGGGTCTGGCCCAGGTTTGAAGTCAGATGTGGTGCTGTGGCAAGCAACTGCAGTATCTGGTTCTGATCTCCAGCCTTGAGACGTGGGACTCAGATTCAAAAGAGAAAGGAGACAAGGGTGCAATGTTCCCAAGTAATGGCATAAAACAAAGCTCTGAGGTAACTGTATCTGAATGTGCCCTCTTTGGCTTTGATTTGGTAATGTGTTAATTGGGGGAAATAAATAAAACATATTTTTGCTCTTCTGAGGAAAATCCTCTGTTAATGCTACATGTAAAGGGGCAGGTTGGGGCTTCTTGTTTCTTTGAATATTCTCTGTATCATGTTCTTCCCTCTCTTACTCTTTCCCTTACACCTGAGGGATTTTGGTAGCCTATCACACTAGAGTGAGCACACGAGTTTGCCTTCCCAATTATCACTGAATTTGAGCTCCCTCAGCTCAGGTAACTTTGGGACATGATGTCTTCTGCTTGAAACCCTCAGCACTTACTGAAACTTGGCAGGGATGTGGCCAGGGGAGACATGCACAAACTGTTTTGGGGAGGAACTTTTCTTTTTTATCACTCCTACTTTTCTTTCATTCCCCTGTGTTCTGCATGGCACTGTAACTGCATTTTGGGAACTTGCTGATCAGTGGCAATGTATTAGTGTCACACTGGGTGGTTCTGCTCAGGATTCCATGTCCTGCCGACTCAGGCCTGTCTGTGGTGAAGTGCTGCCACCTGCCAGAAACTTGTGTGGCTGCCTTCTATTTAATCCATCCCACTCATTGCTCTCACTCCCCTTTCCTACTGTCCGTTCAGTTCTTCC